GCCAAATCATATCACCAATCTTACCCTTCCTTGAACCTACATTATGCAATCTTACCTTGTTTGCTTTGCCTAAAATGTTCACTAACCTGCCCCTATCAGAATGCCTGGTATTATTTGTCAATTTTCTACTAAAGAACCACCTTACCCATGCTCTGTCAAACTGTAACAGCAAGAAGTAATATCCCTTCCTTCCAGTAGTATTCAGTTATTTAATTCATTCAGTTTGCCTTTAATCACTTACGTATTTTTGAAACTCTGCTAGTTTAACGAATTTCCCACTATAAGCAGCACACACCGTAGTTATACTGGAAGAGGAGTAGTTGGTTGATTTTATTCTTATACTTTAAAAAAAGCTTGAATTTTAATCACTTTTAAATTCTAGCTACCTGGTAACGTAATCATTTTCATTGCATGAAGCTATGGGGATGTAATATCTTTGTTGAGGTTAGGAGCATTTCCTCAGATGATATATGAGAATATCGCATTGAACATTTGGGCCAGTAATCTTCTGGATCAGTGAGCCTACTTTTAAGCAAATGTTCCATCGGTGTTAACTGATCATCATTTCCTGTCTTAAATATGACAGTCATGAGTATTATGGTAAAACATCATTTAGTGTTAACATATATTTCTATTTATCAGAATTTATAAATTTTTCCTAAGGAATGAACTTAACTTTTTAAGTGATCCACAATAAACTGGAAGCATGTGATCTCACCAGTCCACTTTGGGATTAGTATTTTGGGTGTCAAATGCTGATGTGTGCCATCTTTTTCTTGAGATTGGTAAACTCTCAGAAGACTGAACAAATATTTACTTAAATATCTAATCTACAATAATGGAAAATTTAACAAATCAATTTAATCTTTGAAGAGACTGGTAGAAACTTATCCTAATTCACTAACATTTTATCTAGCATCTAGCTAATTTACACACTATCCCTCTGTCCCTCTATCCAACTCTTCCCCATATGCATAAAACTACCCCCTTGAAACTATGATAAACCCAAATCATGGGCGAATTCATAGGAGTGACATTAGTAATCCATTTGGAATCATGCAGCTAGTTAATCCTTCATATCTTTGTAATTTCAAAATTCCAACTCATTATTACTCTTCTTCCCCATTTCTGCATTATTCCTCTTGCCTCTTCCTCACCCTCACTTTCCTGCCATTGTCATAATATATTCCTGTGAGTGATAGTCTCTTCCCTTATTGTTGTCCCAGAAGCTTCTATTCAATCCACAAGCATTTATTGGGCACACTTTCCTCTTACCTATTTTAACTTTACTACTAACATGGCCCATTATACCTAGCAAAACCCATCTCCTGGCTTTATCTGAAAATTAGCATTTTTCATATATCCCTACACTTTCCTCAAAACCTTCATGACATCGCTTTTTCCCTAATTCCCACATACATTATCTACTTCCAACCTATTTTTTTCAGCCTCACTCATACCGCTCCCATATATATATGAAATGTATATTTATAGCTCATGCCCTACAAACTAGGTTTTTTGCCATTTCCCAATTATGGACACACCCTGTGCTTTTTTGACTCCTGGCTCTATTAAGTCGATTCTTCCTAGATTTCCCTTTTACCCCCTGAATACTTCCATCTTTTAATACTTGGGTTTTGAATTCAGAGAGTCAATAAACTAAGAAAATAAATGTGAATTTTGTAGGTGTTCTTACATACATTTTTTTCCAAGTAGAGAGTTCACAGTTTTCATTACATCTTCAAAAGGGTTAAAGACCCCTCAAAAGTTAAAGACTACTACTCTTATTTTCTTCCACCTTCCTGAACTATACTTGTATTTTTGTTACAAAGAGTCTTGTTTGGTGTATTAGTCCATTCTCATGCTGCTGATAAAGACATATCTGAGACTGGGTAATTTATAAAGAAAGAGAGGTTTAATGGACTCACAGTTCCACGTGTCTGGGGAGACCTCACAGTCATGGCAGAAGGCAAAAGGCACATCTTACATGGCAGCAGGCAAGACAGAATGAGAGCCAAGCAAAAGGGGAAACCCTTTATAAAGCCATCAGATCTCGTGAGACTTACTACCATAAGAACAGTGTTGGGGAAACTACCCCCATGATTCAGTTACCTACCTCTGGCTCCCTCCCACAACATGTTAGAATTATGGGAGCTACAATTCAAGATGAGATTCGGCTGGGGACACAGACAAACCATAAAATCTGGGTAATTATGCATTTATTCATATATATGACTATATACCCTATCTCTCTTACTGGATTGTAATGTCTATTGAATTATGAAAAATTTTTGTAATCATGATCTTTTGCACACAACTTTATAAATGACAGTCACCCAGTTACTATGTACTTAAAAAAGAAAAAAACTGTTCTTTAAAAAATGTAATCAGGGCTGTGATCCTTTCATGAGATTGGAATTCCCTTCAATATATTTTTTAAATGAATATAATAAATGTTAATTTTTTGTATGCATCTCAGAAGTTCTTATCAGTGAGATGGTAACTAAATGACCTGGTTATCCCATTGGACTAATTAATAAGCCTTAAAGAATTCATGAGTATTTGGAAGCCAGTGGGTTTCCAAGTAGGCTCTAACATGCATGCTAAGACTGGTGTCTTCCTTGTAGAAAAACTCAGTCTTTGTTTCTTGATTGTCCTATCATTCCATGTTTCTGCCTTTCCATTCCCCGGGCTCCACAAATTCAGCACAGGCCTAAGTCGGTTAGGCAGAAGATTCCTAAAGCCAAAAGAAATACCCCTTTTGTTACCTATATTACAAAGTGACACAAAGAAGAACCAAAATTCTGAAGGTCCAAAGCATTCTGGAATGTCAGTGTATCCATTCCTGGGGAATCCAGTTTCACCCACATATTTCCTTGCTCCTTTCCAAAGTTCTTTAAAAACTGGCCAGAAATGAGAAGGCCGTTTCCTAAAAGCCTGGACTTCTAAGGAATCATCTGGAAATCTAGGACCCCACCATAAAATAACAGCTTCAATAACAGAAGCAGATCTCTGATTTTTTTTCCCCCAGAAAAAGAAGTGCTGGTTTATCCAACTGAAAGGTGCTTATTAACGAACTGAGAGCATGGACTTCTTCTTTAGTGTTGCTCAGCAATTACATATCTGGTAATTTACCTTTCATTTAAAATTATAATATCAAAAGTTACAGATCATCTTATTTTTATTTGCTAGACTGAAATCTTACCTCAAATTCTCCACACTCAAACTTTAAAGAAAATATAAGTATAATGGCAAATTAGGGTTTTGAGCAAATTCTTCCTATAAGTGAATTATAGTCACATGAATCCTTTGACTTGTTTTCTGCTCTGTTTTCTCTTTGAAAACACAGCACTTATTGATCATGTTTTAAGAAATGTTATACCAAAGTCCTTTATAGTTTCACAGTTTAATGTTTTGGCAAAATGTTTGTTTATTCATTACATTTACATTACTCTTTCTGTAATATATCTGTTTTCATTTGTGCAGTATCACTATTTTCAAGTATAGTGATAAACTGCATTAACATCCATTCTGGCAGAGAATGTTTTAGAAGCCAGTTTACTTAATTTTGTTGTCTAAAAAAAGTTAGCAGTAGGATAAATTGTATTATATCTTCCTATGAATTAATTTAATATCTAATTTTAAGAATTTTTTAATGATTTCTTAACCTAACATATGCTTTTCAGTATTATATTTTATTAACTCCAGGGAAGAATTAGCAATGTGGGAAAACAATGTAAAATAAAATTAAAGCTATTAATTCCTAAGTTGTTTAGAAGAAAATTAGATTTAATGTTGATATAATTGATACTGAATATTCTGTGTATAAAGTGTTTTACCATAAAGAAATTGGCAACTTGGTAGACAATTAAGACTTTGCAATGGATATTACTGCATTATTTTTCTTTGGGGGGTGGCAGTATGTTAAAATTTCAAATCTTTTTCGATTTCCATAGCCAAAGTATAAGACAGTTAACTATGTTTTAAAGCTCTAAATATTTTTATAACTGCTTATACTGAATTGTTGATGTAATCAGACTGTTAAAAATAATGAAATCAATTTTCTCTCTTAAATTGCACGGTGTGATTTTTTTTCTTTTGAATTTAGCTAATATTGTTAGTATAGCTCAGTGTCCAAATACAGGGTGTTCAGTACCTGTTTTTAATGGAACTTGCAATACTTCCAGGAGTTGAAAGATAGATAACTTTAAATATGAGGTTATTAAGAGTATATCACATTTATCAGTAACAGCTGGTATTTAATAATTTCTCATGCTATGCTGAGATTTCATGGAATAAAGCTGTTTCTGTGGTTGTCCCTTCTCTTTGTTGGCTCTGAATTATTTTCTCTTCTACATTCCATTTCTGCTGTCATTTCTAATATTTCTGCCTTACCACTATATCCTAAAATATAATGTAGGGATCAGCACTACTTCTTCATATTTGGTCGTACTAATCACCCCCTACTTCCATATTTTAATACGGGATTAATGGAGGAATGTATAGATTTAGTAACTTTTGGACATTAATGAAAGAATCTTGTTCATTTGCATTAAAATATTAATGCATATTAAACTCAAAATCTGCAGTATGATTTTCCTTTCATGACAGAATAGCACTAATATTAAATACTCTTTAGGTGGGAGACTATTTAGAAAGAGAATGGTTACTATCCCACATCCTGAACTATGTAAGTCAAGAATGTTTATTCATAAGGAGAAAAATCCACCGGGGTTCCTGCTCCTCAGGTCTCCATTCTGATAATTATGGAATGTTCAAAAAAGGTTTACTTTGTGAATGGGCTTATTATTAGTGTGCATATTTTTATTTTATTCTCTGGAGGGTGGGGAAGAAGTGGGGGGAAACACATTAAGTGATAGCTATTCATTAACAACCATTGAGGAAGAAGTTGAACTTTAAAGAATCTATCAGAAATTCTCTGGTCAGCCTTTTATTACTATCTTGTCTTGAGCCCTTTTTTTAATGACATCTATTATCAGATTGAAATGGCGATTGAGACGCTGCAAAAGTCTGACGGTCTGTCCACTCACAGAAGCTCTCTTCTCAACAGCCATGTAAGTTGCCTCTTCTTCATGTACACTAATCTCTTGCTTGTTCTGCATGTGTTGCTTGCCTCTAAATGCTTGTTTTATTTATTTACTTATTTATTTTGCTTCTTAACCTTCCTTTCTCAGCCCCTTATGATCTCTGTGTCATTTAATGGCTATTTTGTACAGTGAAATATCCAAAAACTAAGAGTCTCCAGTATAATGCCTTATTAGATTTCTGTACTCTTTGGGTACAGATACAATATTTTCAAGTTAGTAACAAGTTGCCGTGTATTTGTAAAAAGTAATAATAGTGATTTTCAATATTTAAAATGTTCTGGTTTGATATTTATTTACTATGAAGCAAATACTTGTAATCTGCATCCCTGTCAAACAGCCATGTCTACTTGCGTGACCGGTAATATTCTTTAAGTAGAAAAAAGATTATTAATGTCAAATCCAATGATAAACTGTTTGAAAATTATTTGTTTGCCAGTTAGACTATGTAAAGTGGGCAGTAGACAGCCCTATAGTTGAACTCAGGTCCTAAGACCTAAAGAGAAGTGAAAGTGAACCAAAAGAAAAAGGGAGACTGTCTACAAGCCATAAATTGCTAATAATTGAGATAAAAACAATTACCATTACTATTTCCTGAAGCTGTTCCCTGTTATCAGATGCAGATATCACTATGACACTGGTAAGTGTAAGAAAGGTGATGATAGTTTTGTGAAATTATAAACATTTTTATCAACTGTTCACATTTGCGAAACCCATGAAAATGCTGAATAAAAATTTATTTTGTTAAGATGATTTCTGAATATATGGAAAAAAGTAAATAGACCCATGATTTAAATTTGTTTTAGATTGATTTTCTGCTAACTTAACACTAGTGACATTTTAGTAAGAATTAGAATTTCTCCCCCAACTGACAATTTGTTCTTAAATTTAGGGATAAAGTATTATGACTTCTTATTTCTTTTTCATATTTTGTAACTGAAAAGCTCGAAATTAGATCACCCAAATGAAACGATTTTTTTCAATGAACCTAAAACTTACTCGTAGAAAATGTTTTAACTGTGTTTTTTTAAATACTTGATTTTTGAAACATTTTCATTTTAAATCTTAAAATAGCACTAAATACCTCCTTATGTTCTTACACATTTGTTTTTAGATGGGGTATTTTATCTTGTGTCTTTTTTCAAAGGAAAGTATCATGGAAAACAAAACCAGGTTAGCCAACTTGGAGAATGCCTATAATTTTGGCGAAAAATCATACATATAAACTTAAAGATAATAACATATATTCTGGCCCTTCCTTTTGAAACAGTTTAAGAAATATAAGTTTTTTCATTTCTGAAAATTGGTATTTAGTATGTCACTCTTTTATATTTCATAAGTATATTCCTGCTATGTTGGCATGTATCTGTGATTGTATTAAAGGCTGATTTCTTGTATACTACTAGGCTGCGTGTGTCGGGGGGGTGATGACCAACTTGTATTTATGCTTTGAAAATGGCAAATGAAATTGTTCTTCCTTTTAGTCAGAAATGTGCAAGGACATAAGAAAAAAAAAAAAAACCTGAAGTTTCTAGTTACCTGTTTCAGCTTTCAGACTTCCAAGTTGTGCTTTCGTATTCAACTTAGAGTTCATTTTTACTTGACATGTATAATTTAGTAAAATATGTTATGTTTAATTTTAAATTTAACTTCAGTTATTCATCTTAATATTTTTATGAACAATAATGGAAGTATAAGAACATGTTTTTTATATATTTTTAAGATGTATTTGTTGATTTGTTTGAAGCTTTTCAACTGTGTTAGAGATTTTTAAAAATTACTTTTCTCTATAGAATTCATGAAATAATGTTTAAGGTTAATAAATGTGTGAATTAAGCTGCATAAACAATAACAAATGTTTATTACTCCATGGCTTCGTTTTTTTTTATTACATAATATGTCTGATCTTCCATACTGTTAACAACTGCCGGAACACTTCAGTATGTGGAAAGAGTGGGAGCAAATGTTGATAGTGCAGTGATAATCTTTCTCCAGCTATCCTGATTCATTTTTATTACACCTCTGAGGCACAGTGAAGTTCATTCAAAATTATATTTATAGTCAAATATTTAGAAATACAAATGATTCTACGGATGGTTTATAAACAGTGGAGAAAGGATCAGTGCTTCTGCTGACTAATCAGTGAGGTTAGTTTCTTCCTAAACGCAGAAGAAGATCCGGTTGTCTTTTTCCTCCTTGGAAATTTGAGGATGCTTTTAATGTTTCTGAGATTTATCAAAACAGCTGGAATTTGCTAGTGCATGCATTCTGGTTGATAACTACTTGCTAAAGATATTTTACATTCTGTGAACCTAACTGGTGATTTTATGTTGCGTAGAATTTTTTCAGTGGAGAGATTGGGTTTTTTAAAAAAAGTGTTATTAATATTTTAAATGTCAGTAAACTATGCTACCTTTATTTCTCACTACATAGGGCATAATATAGAATTATTTGAGGTTTGTGGGATTCTGTAAGGTGAACATGAATTCCACTTTATGATGATTAGTTCCCTGATTTATCACTATCTCCACAGGATCAATTTTATTATGTAAAAAAAATGGGAGAAATTATTGATAATTTGCATCCCATATTTTTCCTGTTTCTAAAGAGGGGTGTTAATCATGACTTTTGAGGTGAAAAGTCTATTCTCATTCTATTTTGGAATATGGGTAAGCAAAGATTTCCTATTTTCTCTTTCTATATTTGCTTATTCACAGTAATTTTAAAAACTCTTATTAGGACTAAATAAGATAAATAATCCCCTCTCAGCAGAATCCAACTTGATTGCTTTGCTTTATACCTTTCCACACATTAGAAAATGGGGTGGAGTATTGAATTCTTATCCCATTTTCAACATATTCTTAAGAGAATTAACATGGTGGGAGTTATTTTAGTACCAGCATCTGTAATAGGCAGTTAGCAAATCTTTATTGTAAATGATAGTTCCAAGAAAGTAAGGATTTTTGTATGTTTTGTTCACTGGTGCATCCCTAGTGCCTAGAACGGTACCTAGTACATCATAGATACTCACTAAATATTTGCTGAATGAATTAAAAGAAACAATAAAAGGGATCAGGCCTTATGTTACCTTCATTATTTTAGGAATTCTAGGATGCCATTGCCAATCATGTATACATTTATTTGGAGACTCATATTCATTGTATTGTTTCCTTTGTTTTCAAGTTTGCTTCTAGTAGATGTATACGTGAACATTGTTGGTAAAGGGTGGTCTTGTTCTGGTATTCCATCTGAGTAAAGAATATATGGCCACTCTGTTATTTCTCTACAAGCAGCCTTCAGTTTAAGAGTAAATAAATCTTTTTTTCTCTAAACAATCTCATCTTTTAAAAAGTTCTTGCCAAGAGTGACATTGTTTGTCTCCTGGTATTTTAGAATGGTTCTTTGTATTTGGCTTTACAGAATTCTATTAGTCTGATAATTTTTTATTTAAATATTTTTGTTTCTTATTTTTTTATATATGAAGATGCTATAGGTAAGTGATGTATAGTCTGCCTAAATCAAATTTGAATATCTAATTATTTTCATTGCAGACTTAAGATTTTTTTATACTTTTTCTTGGTGTTAATTAATACAAATTAGTATTTAATGGTTGTGGTGTGTTCACTTGTTTACGAACTACTTATTTTACATTGTGAATTTGAATTCAGAAATGTTGTTAATTGTCCCCAATAATCGCATAAAATTTAAGGTTGTACATTTCTTTAAAATTCCATTTAAAGTTTATGAAAAGCTCTAGCCATCTATTTTATGTATTTCTCACAATCTGGCAAATAATTACTTCATGTTGTTTGCTAGTTTTAGCTACCAAAATACATTCAGCTCAAAGCAAAACCTTGTTTTTTTACTCACTTTTCATTGACTTTGCTGTATTGTAAATATAAGTTATTACAGAAATAAGGCCTGTCAAAATGCATATCATTAGTAAACTGAAATAAAAATGAATCCTGATGGGTAATAATCCATCTGGGAAAAAATGACAAATGTTACATTTAGATGTTAATTGGGCAGTGCAATATTTGTTTATTTTTATTTGTCAATCAGGATTTCCCTTTGGGAAAAATAGGAACCATTCATCTTTAATCTATCTTGATTAATACAGATTAAATGCAGAGGTTGAAAGATGCAGTTATCTTGGTTTCCACCCTTAAATGAGTATATGTTAGTTCATTAGTAGAATAATCAAGTTTTAAAGATAAAGGTTAAAAGTTCCTATGTTATTTTATGGGCTTTTGAAATAATTCCTTGTTATTTTACGGGTTTTTGAAGTCAGGAAACATTTTACAAGACATTTTATAAAAGAGCAAAACAAATAATAATTGTTTAGTTCTAAATTGCTGAATGTTAAGATTGGGGAATACTAATGTCCAAATACATTGTATTAAAGACAAAACCCAAGGAAGCAATATTTAACAGGCATTAACTTCCCTTGGGTAGCTCATGGAGCCTGTGCCTTTAGGTTGCACTTAAACTTACACAAAAACTTAACTGCCAAGTTTCTCTTACAATTAATGTAATGCTTTCTAATACTATGTTTTAGACACAAATGTCTGATTTATAATTCCATCACTGTATCAAAACGTAAAAGTTAAATACTGGCATATAGGATGGAGATTATAATCCCCAGCCAAAGTCTTATCTGGTGGATCCTTTTAAATCAATTTCTGTTAATACAGTGAATTTCTAGGAGATATAGCCCGAGGTGGGGCAGTTGTTGGCAGTCTTCCTAGCTGGGACCTGCAGGGCTACAGCAAATCCATCTCCATCCTTTCAGGGCTTTTACCTCCACTTGACTTCCTTATGCTCTCTCAACCTGCTCTCCAGGCATCTGGCAAGGAATGGAGTTCCTCTTTCTGCATATATCGGGTAGGGAACAAAACGTAGCTTTGCTAGTGTCAAAGTAATAGTCATCAAAATACCTGTTCTTATACCATTTTTCAAACTAACTAGTGATTTATATAAATATATATATATATGTATATGCATGTATACATGTAAACAAACTGATTTTTTGAACTAGTTTGGAAATGAAGAAGAATTTAAACAGAATTAAACAGAATTTCTTCAGTTTAAGAATGTAAACTATATAAGACAAACAAATCAGTTTATAAAACAGTGCAGATTTTTTTACTTACCTAGCCATTTCAGAGGCCTGCCTAGCCAATCCAGTAAAAGGTTCACTTCCTGTAAATTATTCAATTGGGATATAAGTAATATCATTTAGGCTTCTAAGTAGTTTGTACCAACATTTGCTATAATTATCTCACTATTTCTATGAAAAGTTTTCTTTATTAAGAGTGGGCTGATTAACCCATATATATATATATGTATATAAATGTAAATATACTATTGGACTCAAAATATTTTATATTAAACTTTAATATTTGTACTTTTACTTTTATAAAAGGTAATTTATTACAGTATCCTTCAAATATTCTATTATTGGATTTTCTTTTTCAAATTTTGTAGTACAATTTTTAATCTACAAGATAATTCCTATGATCATGAAAAATAAGTAAGCTCTCATTTTTACATATTTGTCTTTATTTTTAAGTAATTAAATGATGCACGAAGACTAGTATACAAGTAGGGCAGTTTTTAAAATGTTTTATTTGTTTCTGGTTAATTAAAATTATTTTTATTTGCTTTTATCAGACTAAAATTACATTAATCTGTTTTTATTATTTGTATACTTTTGGTTGTAAAGTTCATATTATAATATTGACTAATTCCATTTCTGAAAAAAAAATGCCCTTTAAATTAAGATTTTTCTATATAGTATGTCTTCTGTTCATTAGCAAAGGAAGTAATATTGATTTATTCACTCAGAAGAAATCATACTATTATACCTTTGACAATATGCATTATTTTATGAGGATATGTAGATGTACATACAAACATATCTTTGGTGTTTTTAACTTACACATATTGTGTGTTCCATGCTTGTGGATGTGGAAACTTCATTAGTTTACTTGAAATATACTACTCTGTTTCAAAAAGTATTAACGTTTTTTATGTCTGCCTTTCCAGAATGTTTTTCTTTCATGTCTTCTTTATAGTCCTTTATATCAAAAACCTATATGCCTTTCTTTAATATATTAAGACTGCCAATAGAAGGTGGTCAACCCTTGCTCTGTGTAGTATATGTACACAAAACAAGAACCAGCACTGTTGTACAGTACAGCTCACTAGGACTGCCATAACATCACTCAAGTGCTTCCCAATCTCAATCATTTTACCAAAGCATGTGGATGAAATATATGAATCAGGATTTTATTGCTGCATTTTATGTGTAGTCTCCCTCAGCTATACTCAAAACTAATAAAGTCTTAAAACTAAAGAAAAAAAAAAAAAACACTAAAGATACGTGCTGTCCCACTGTTGTAGGCAAAATACTAATTTGAACCTCAGTAACTTAATTTCCCAATCAGACTGCCTTATCTCTTTTACACTAAATGAATATGTGTAGTAAACCTATTCTGTGTGTCACTTAGAATGCTCAGAAATCATGTTTAAGCGCCCCTGGACAACTTGTTTACTGACAATCAGGTTCCAGATGATTCATAACAAAATAGTTCTTCTGGCCCGTAATACTTTTATGTCATTGTAAAAATGAATGTTTATTTTGTGTAATCTTTTAAAACTTGTATAGGTCAGCCTTGTATATGTTAAGAGGTGTTATGTACATTTAAATGTGCATATTCATTCCTATATGTGCCCTGTGAAGGACTTCAGGTCTTTCTGATCAAAATTTGAATTTTATTTTTAAAAGTACTCTGGATTGTCTTGTAGATTTGGTGGCTATGTTTTGTAAGCCAACTATCAATATGGGTTTAATGACATACGTTTAATTACATAAACATCATGTAGGAATATTTGACATTAAAATGGTTTTTGGAAATTAGTTGTCATGACTAAAGTCAGTAATTCTGAAAATATTTTTAATGAATTTTTAAATTAAAAGTCTGAAAATTCAGGTTCTAAGTTTGATTGCAAATCTTAAAATATGTAAGCAAAATGGAGAAATTTTTTATTTATTTAGATGTTCATATTATCATTTTTAGCATTTCATTGGAAATTCCTGGAGGACAAGGATGAGATCACATTCATTTTTGCATCACTAGATGCCTGGCACATTACCTGGCTCATAGTTGGTGCTCAATAAATGAATTCTTTGGCTTCTAAAATTTATATTAACTTGAATTGTGTGTTAAATGTCAGCTCTTTATTACACCTGTCTTATATATGGCATGAAAATTTTTTTTTGAGACAAGTAATGTGAAGTATTTACTGCTTTTGTGAAACATTGGTCTGGAGTAATCAGGATATGTGAATTGGAAACCAGCTCAGGCATGGAAACAATATGTGACTTTGAGAAAGTAATTTAAGTCTATTTCAGTTCTCCTTTTATAAATAAATAAATGAATAAAAAATTTAATTTTGCTAATGTTAAAATTCAATAATACAGACTTGGATTCAATTTTCTAAAATTTTCTTGTACATCCAGTGCTTTAAAGATGTTTTTTTGTAATGTACACAGGACAACATAAAACTTTAAAATGTGAACATGGACTGAAAAAGTATTGCGTTACCCACTACCATTGCAGTGTGCCTTCCAAAATTATGAATAAACACAGTTTTGAGGCAGAAAAATTCAAATGGTTGTAATAAATGATTCATTTTCATTGCATATAAACTCTTTGCCAATGTCTAGTTAGTTTATTTTCATTTGGGGACAAAATGACTGCATTTTGTCCTTTCTGCTTTCAGAATCTGTCCCAGTAGACCATATTGTTATTTTCTAGTGGTAATTTGAGATAAATAAATTAAAATTCTATAAAAATGAATATAACTTTAACATAAACACTGATACCAGGCAGGCTGCTGTTCATGTGTTATAACAAGCCAACACTAAAGACATCTTATGTACCATGCTACCAGGCTTGGTAACATGTTTTGTTCCGTAGCAATTATATTTCTGATATTTATGACCAGTTAATGGGATTATTTGAACTCCTTGAAGTGGTATCTATTTTCAAAATTGCAATCAATACAGAGAAAATTAGTATGTCTCTACATGTGCTTGAATATTTGAAGAAATGGACATTGTCTGAGATCCTTAGTGATGTTCAGCTATTTACAGTGTTTCTGAGCATTTTCAAAGGTAGATTACCAGCTTCTGAATTACAGTAGTTTACTCTATCATAAGACTTGATGAAGAACTTCTGAGTATTTCTGTATGTTGCATTTGCAGTGTCTTGTAGAAATTTTGGCAAATTATGTGATTTGTCTGTGTTTACTGTGTCTTATTTCCCTAGCTCCAGTGGCTGTTGGACAATTACGAGACAGCAGAAGGAGTGAGCCTTCCCAGAAGCACTCTATACAACCACTACCTTCGACACTGTCAGGAACACAAACTGGACCCAGTCAATGCTGCCTCTTTTGGAAAATTAATAAGATCAATTTTTATGGGGCTACGAACCAGGAGATTGGGCACTAGGTTAGTATTGAAAAATAAGATCATAAACTAATCTCTGTTTTTCAAACTAGAGCAATTCAGTATATTGTTTAAACAAAAGTACTTGATTACAGACAATATGTAAGGAAATACGTAGAATGAGCTCAGTTTATAACATCCCCAGGAAAAGGAAAGGACGTTATTCAGTGACTATTTCCAAGCCAGAATTATATGTTGTCTAAAACATTAACCGAGCAAAGCTTTGAGAAGAGCTGATTCTCAAACTACATAGAAATTAGTAGACCAGCCTGTTAATGCAAGATTTGCATATGGTGCTTTAAGACACACACATACACATACACACACACATAAAAAAAATGTATTCTCTTATTGAAAGAAATCCTACTGATGATGATGCATTAAGTGACATAGTAAATGGAAAACTATGTATCTCTTAACTCTTGAAAACTTACATTTGTCTTTATAAATAATTGTTCAGTTAGAGTAAGAAGCTAAAGCAGAGTTTTTTCATTTGATTTCTGGAGACCAATTAAAAATCATTTGGTAAACTTGCAATATAGTGTTTTAAATTCCTCAGTGATAAGATAGTTGTATTTTACCTCTTATTGGCCCCTACTATTTTTTCTGCTTTTAATGTGAAACCATATGTGTGTGGAAGGAAAAGCATAGTATAGTTCAATTGAATTGAAACAATGTGAAGAAGTCATCTCTGGTTTTTCTTCCTTTGGAAATAAGAGTGTTTTCACCAACCGAAACATCATGAAAAGAATACTTAGAACTCTGGAGCTTCATTTTTGTCTTTCCATATTTCTATAAATTATCATAAGATAATTATTTTAAGTAGCTGGACAGAAGGCTATGGATGGTTTTAATTTCCTAAATCTGATAGAAATCATATAAAAAGTTAAAATAGAGATACTATACTATGCAACATTAGGTGATTTACACTTCATTAGCTATAAAGCACAACTTCAGAGTATTTTAGCAAAGAGGTTTTTTTTTTGTTGGCTTTTTTTTTTCTTTGTTTGTTTGTTTTTTTGAGATGGAGTCTCATTCTGTTGCCAGGCTGGAGTACAGTGGCACAATCTCTTCACTGCAACCTCCGCCTCGCAGGTTCAAGTGATTCTCCTGCCTCAGCCTCCCGAGTAGCTGAGACTACAGGTGTGCGCCACCACGTCCAGCTAATTATTGTATTTTTAGTAGAGATGGGGTTTCACCATATTAGCCCAGATGGTCTCCATCTCTTTGGTGATCCACCTGCCTCGGCCTCCCAAAGTGAAGAGTTTTTAATCTTAATAAAATAAGCACAGCCTTAGTAATTGACTGCATTAAAAATGTATACCAAAAAGAAGAGTGAGTGTTGTGGGGAGAAAAGATTGATCTTTTTGTCACCATCACAAGACTCATAGCTAGGACCCCTATAGCAAAAGATTAACAAGCGAAAAGCATACAAATTTGTTTAATATAAGTTTTACATGACTGGGTGCCTTCAGAAATGAAGGCCCAAAGAAACAGAGAGAACTGTATGTATTTTATGCAGTCTGATGAAGTGAATAGTTCTGGAGAAATTGGACAGAAAGGAGTATGATCTAATGGTTCTAGAGGTATGATCTAATGGTTCTAATCTGGGGGAGACTAAGCAAGGCCTGTTTTGTTTTGTTTTTGTTTTTATTTTTTGAGAAGGAGTCTCGCTCTGTAGCCCAGGCTGGAGTGCAGTGGCCTGATCTCAGTTCATTGCAACCTCTGCCCCCTAGGTTCAAGTGATTCTCCCTGCCTCAGCCTCCCGAGTAACCCCGGTTACAGGCGCCCCCCCACCCACCCACTGCGCCCAGATAATTTGTGTTTTTAGTAGAGATGGGGTTTCGCCATGTTGGCCAGGCTGGTCTCAAACTTCTGACCTCAGGTGATCCACCCGCCTCGGCCTCCCAACATCGTGGGATTATAGGCGTGAGCCACCGCATCCGGCCCAGCAAGACCTGTTTGTTCAGATTTTTCTGCATCCCTGTGTCTTCAAAAGTAAGAACGTTCTTTTCTGCAAGGTATAGGAGGACCCCTCTGGAATGAGGGTCCCATTACCTGTTTTCAGGAGAAAGTAAGCTAGGTTTTATGGCCTGCTTCAGAGGAGAAGGAGTGAGGGGAATTTTTTCTAGTTTCTGTGGCCTGCTTCTGTTGTTTCCTCAAATGCCAAGGTGCCATAGTTTGGGATAGCATGTCCTAAACCTCTTCACTGTCTCAGTCTTATGAGATTTACAAGGCCTGTATCTATTCAAAGCATGAATTATTGCTTTCCGGTTGCATTTTAAGTGATTATACAGCTTTTAGATTGCTGAAGGTTTAGCTCTCTCATAAATATGTTTCCTTCTTTCTATACTTCAAAAGATAGTATATTTTAAACTGAAGAATATGATTGTCTATTCACACTAAAGGAATAGCTTTCATTCCCTTGAGAAAAGCTTTTTGTTTCTATAGTATTTTTTTTTTCCCAAAACCACAAAAATCATTATTTGGGGACCTAACCTACTATCTCCTAGCTGGTGGCTCTGCAGTTATGCATACCGTGCCAATATTTTGAAACTCTGGGCTTTATTCAACATTCTAATAGCTGTATTGTTGTGCTTCTTTTGTTACTGAAAGGGATTTCAATGGGTCCTATTTTGAGGCTCCGTTCAAACCTTGAAACACGTCTTTAAAATAGAAAGGGACAAAATTGGGGTTGTTTGGTTTTGTGAATGGGTAGAATCCATACTCTGTAAGTACATATTGCAGTATTGCAGCTTTTACCTTCTGATGTTCTGGGTTCCTCCCACCTGCCACTATGTAACAATTATGAATTATGTCTCCTGTTTGTTTTTTTTAATTGTATGTAGTGTTTGCAATTAGGTTTGTGAAGCGAAGCCTAGAAAAATAAGGAGAAAATAAGTACTATGGAGGGAGTTTAAAGAAATGAAGTGTTACGAAGATAGAATTCTAATGTAGAAAAACTGGCAATTGTAGGAGTAAGGTACTAGACATTCTTTCTACCATAGAAACTGTTTTGCGTTTACTTTCTACTCCTAATCCAAGGAACAGATGGAAAATTAATGTAAATCATGAGGCAAACTAAATCAAATACTTTTTTTAAAAAGTGAACTATATGTAAAACTATTATTAATATTATCCATCAATAAAATAATCTGGTGAAACCACTCAAACCAGAACCAGATCTTTTCTAAAGTTTTTGGACCTTAGTAAACAAAAAGTAAATCAAATCACTGTTTTAAACAAAGGCAAATAAAAAGGTGCCTTTTGTTAGATCCCATCTCCAGGTTAAGTTTGAGTAAAGAAGACCATGGATATACTTCTCTCCCCCAGCCATTCCCAATGAAATAAAAAGAACCTCTCCCAACCCAACTAAAATGTTAATTTGTAGGAAAGGCACCCCATCTATTTGAGGTCTCACAAGAGAGATGTCATTTTCCTCTGTAGTTTTGTCTTGTAAGTAATGCCTCCTGCTTCCTACCCTACCTCCACTCCTTAGTGTCCCCCAGTTTGTACAGGAGAACACCACAAATTGGGTATGTGGAATTTTTTGGTTTGGCTTATTGCACCTTTCTGCAGTGGATTTTCAAGACAAGATCTAATCTCTGCAAGTGGAAGGCCTTGCTTTACGGTCATTAAGTTTCTTTATCTGCTTTATTGTGCTGAAAGCATGTAGATATTTGGATGCCCTGCATTTTTTTTAAACTAGCAGTATAATTTATGTAATATGATTTTAATGTCTTCAAATATGTATAAGGTTCATTTAATATATGTTTTTAAATCTTGGAAGTACAATTCTGCCCTATTTTTATAAAAAATATTTAATCCATACTCTTCTTGCATTTCTTTTTGTAAATGGAAGAAAAATTGGAAAAAGCACTGATGTATTGCCATATATGGACTTGTGAAAAACTACTATTTTCTCTTTGCAAGAATTTACATATGTAAGATGATATTTTGCAAGAATTTGCAAATTCCATTCAGAGCAAAACTTTATCATTTCTAATAGCAAACATGGTCTTTCTCATGAACATGGCGAAATTGTGACATTTTTATTCCAGGTGGAAATTTGCCATTTTCATAGAGAAATTTCCCCATGTCTGTTGTGACAAATCCTATTTAGCCTGCAGAACTGATACAAATCCATAAAAACAGAAACTAATAAAATGTGTTTCAAAATCATTAGATTAAAGACTTACTTTCTTTTTAGGTTTCAAAATATTAAGTAAGTCTTTACCACAACATTTTGTAACAAATAATTAAGTTATCTTACTTCATCATCACTGAAGTAAAGAGAAAAATGTCGAACTTATCCAGGAAAGTAGAATTAAGATTTTTTTTCTTTGTTCTGTATACATACTTTACAATGAATGCGTATTCACTGATTGATTTTTGTTGGCCTGTTAACTAATTTTTACTGGCTAAAAACTTTTTTCCTATCTTTACCCTTCTTAACTAAATTTAAAATAGATATTTGAAAATGAAATGTAATTTGTATAGAACAAATGGACTGTTTGACTAATATTTAAGTGAAAGTTTATGAACAAATATCTTTAGCAGGGCCTTTAGCTGATTGATTTAGACTCTTATTTTGATTCTTCAAATTTTATCACCATAAAAACATAAAAGTATTCAGAACAGGTTAATCATAATATATAACATTAATATACTGTTTTTACCAAATTTTTCCAAGTGTGAAGTTTAATGGACATCCCATGTGATTAATATTAGTTTGACTGACTTTTGTTTCTAATGTTTCTTGTTCGCTAATGAAGAGGAAACTCCAAATACCACTACTATGGGATTCGTGTCAAGCCAGATTCCCCTCTTAATCGTCTGCAAGAAGACATGCAGTATATGGCTATGAGGCAACAACCCATGCAGCAGAAACAAAGGTAGACTCTGACATTATCGTTGATATGTCCAGGCTATGTATTTCTTAGTTGTTCGGGTCTCCTTTTTTCTGAACAAATACCTAAGTATAAAAGAATGTTCTTATTGTTGGCATGCTTTCACTATGGATAGTTCTTAAATATGATTTAGAATTTCAGTGATCCCGCCTGTTTTCCAAATTTTTAAAAATTACTTATCAGTCAGCCTGTTTGATCCCTTTTAAGTGTGACATCCCAAACTGTTCAGACAGGGAAATGAAACACAAACATAAGGAGCAAACCCAAGCAAATACCAACTGGAGAAATTGGTTTCAGTATTCATGAGCTTCTGACTTGCTATTCTGCACATCCCTCAAGTCATTCTTTTTGACACAGTATGAATTTTTGCAGAATGTTTGGGATGTCTTACATTTGCTTTGAATCCAACTTTCATAGATACAGAATTGCTGATATTAGAGTTGTAAGAGATCTCAAGCATTCATGAATGGATGGATGGATGATGGATGGATGGACGTATGGACAGATGGATGGATGGATGAATAGAATCATAGATCTTAGAATTGAAAAATATGTTAGTCTAGTCTGGCCTTAAAACCTTATGACAATCAAAGCATTAATAGTCTCTGTTTTTTTCAGATGAGTCCCAGAGAGGTTAAATGATTTGCACAAGCCCATAATGAAGTTGCATAGCCAAAAGGGCCTTCAAGTCCCATGTGACTTATGTCACAATTTAGAGTAAATAAAATGAAAAAATCCTTTCCTCTTTACCAGCATAGCTCAACCAAGACAGTAGTTATGATTTTTCTTTTCAAGTGAGCATGCAGAATTAGGTAGGAGAAAGGAGGCCTCTGCATAGGTCCCAATGTAATGATCTGTAGTGATTAGTTGCCTTGGCCACATCTCCCCATCCATGCTAGTTCACTCAGAAGCATTAACTCTAAGATAATGTCAGAGAAAAGAATGTATCACACAGTAATTGTATACTATTTAGTCAGCCAATACTGATTGAGTCTCTACCATGTGTTAAACCCTGCATGCAGAGATAAGACACAGTTCTATGTTTGAAGAGTTAAAAAATTAGAAGGGGAGGCACATGGAGAATGGGAAAAAAATGGAAGGCAGTCTGGGAAGTGCTGAAATAAAACTTTGATCAAGGAACTATCACAATACAGAGGAGTTTTCAGGAAACTCTGGGAGAAAGGGAGATTGGGAAGTTTCTAGAGAAAGTGCTATTTGAGTAGGAACTTAGAGAAGTCATAAAAAGAGAAATATTGAAGCAGAAGGAAAATTCACCTAGGGGTGAAGTCCATGATGTCTGTGGTAAATGGTCCATGATATATTTAGTGAGGTTGGTATTACAGAAGGAGAATCAAGGAGTTAATTGAGTAGTTTAGTGGGAGATGAGATCTTAAAAGTAGTTTGGATCATATATTAAGGGATTTGCTTGTATGTAAAGCTAATAAGTTTGTTCTTTGTGCAGAACATAGCTTTGAAGCTATGTAAGGCTTTGAAGCAAAACAATGAAACTTTGATTTTTTCTAGAGAGATGACTTTTTGATTTTGGGCAAGACATATTTAATGGAAAGAGACTGGAGGTAAGGATACTTGTTAAGTGGTTTTTTAACACAGTCATAATTTCCAGTGTAAGTTTACCAGACTGAAGACTCAGTTCAGGATTGGCTATTATATAAAAGGTATCTTAAAGGTTTTAGATTTTTTTTATTACAGATTCTCAATCTTATTTTTTAATTGCTGATTCTTATTTTTTGATGTATAGCCAGTGAAAAATAAGGTCTCTGAAAAAAATAGTAAAATAAATTATAGACTAGTACCTCATAGAGTTGGATAGTACCTCATAGAGTTTGTGTGAGTTGCAATAAATTGTTACTGTTTTGGATTATGATTGCTTTTTGCATCTGTTAATGGCAGCACTTATAGCCTTTACTTTCTGGTGTGATTTCTGCACTCATGCATAGCAGCACTACACAGTGGAGATGATGGTGAAATCAAGAAAAAGAAAGTTTGCTTCAGAAATAACATATACTCAAACTTAAGTATGAATAAAAACTTAATAAATTATACCTAGGAATTGAAGCCCATTATTTGACTGCAAGGAATCTCCTGTGATTTAACTATAAGGAATTCTAGCAAGCTTTCATAGAAACAGAAGCCTTCAAGGGACATTCTTTATAAAAAACCTGAGTTACATAAGTAAAGCCTAGGACTTTCTGTGGTCTCCTCATGAAACAGATTCTATAAAGATTAGCAAGCCATAAAAACCCCTACCTTTTCAGGATAGTGGTACTTGAGTTTGAAAACAGATAAAATATGGAGACGTTTGAGAAATGATATAAAAATCTCAGTAGTATTAATAAATTGAGTTTGATTGTTATTTCTTGTGAAACAAAAATGTGAAAGAGCCATAAAAGTACTGAAACTGCCTTTAATTTGTTGGGTTTTTTTAATGATACAAGTTTAGGATTATAGACAGTTGCTCTTAAAATGGTATCTTGCTAATTGATTGCATCTTGCTAATTGATTGCAGTGTTAGTGTTGCCAATTGCATGGGCCTCTCTTATAGGGCAGCAGGAGTCTTCTGTGGTCTCTCTGAAGGAATCTGTCCACTGACAACACTTAACTGAAACCAATTACCCTGTTGTGCAGAAATATTTAGACAGGAAAGAAGGAGTTTCTTTTCATGGGTGTGTACATAGGCTAATTTAAGAATATTTGTTGAAAACAATGGGAAAAGAACTTCTTAAAATATATTTTATGGCTTAAAAATTTTTTTAATGATGATTTCAAAATTCAAATGATTCTGCTGAATACAGTAAAAATTATGTAAAGAGACTGCCAGTCTCTTGCAAAAATACAAATGACATGTGAAAGGTTTAAAGTATAAAATAGAAGATATTTCAAAATATTCACATTATTTGAATACTTGAAGGTTTATTAAATGTATCCATGTGTGCTTATCTTTCATAATGTAGATTTATGTTTTATATGTTATAGTGAAGAAATGCAAGTCTATGCAGTGATTATTTTGTTAATTGAATTCAACTTTTGGAACTCAATTTGTACATTTTTCTTGTGAATTTGGAATTATTGTTACTGTAGGGATAATAGTGATTATTGTTTTTATATAGCTCACAATTTCTTGAGCTCCTTTATGTAAGGTATCACTTGAAGGTTTGATAGGGTGGTAGAGGAGATCTCCATTTATCTATAAATCCAGTTCCCAGCAATACAACTGTATGGAACATAGCCATGAGTCTGAAAATAAATGTAAACAACTTCTGATTGGAAAGCAGATGTCACAGAGCCTGCAGTTTCACTTAGTTGAAAAGATGAAGCCATTCTCAAGCCATTTTACCTAAAATAAAGGAGATTAGAACCCACTTGGTTCACAGACAATCATGAACTATGACAGCTGGCAAGAAGAAATACAAGTAGACAGGCTCTTCTGTTTACTTTAAAGTTATTCAGTACAACAGTTTGTGGACACTCTGTGGAGGGGCAAATGGACTTAGGCACTCCAGTAGATACTTCAAATATCACTCTAATGACTAAAATCTAGCCTAACACAATATAACAACTGCTTTGCGTATTGATGGCATTATGGGTAATCAAGGAGAGGTAAAATACCATGGTCTTTAAGGAGGCAGGAGAATGTGTAACAGTTTTTGTAAAAAAAACTTCTATTAAAAATACTTCATATGAAAATAATTTTTTTGCACTGAAATGAGGTGATCTTCAGTTTTTGATGAAATTCACTCATGGACTAATTTGTTTACCCTAATTTAGATAATAAGTAAGTTAGATTATTTAGAGCAAAAAGGAGATCAGTAATTTCCAGCTCTCCAAACCAAGTACAATGTTTGCTGCAGCTTATTTTTAATAATGAAAATAAGTACAAAGAGAGTATTGACACATATATTTTAGATATTTTTCCAAATTCCAGTAGTGAAAGCCAAATACTTTTGATAATGTGCTTGGCTGTGTTTGATCCCAGTAGCCGTTCTCAAAATATTAAATGTCATTTGTCATTTCTTCAACAAATACTTATCAATTGTTATTTGCATAACAATCTGTCAATCACATCTGAAAGACATAACACAGAATCATAGAGTGTTAGAGATGGAAGGAAGAGATCACCTAGTCCAACTTACCCTCTTAATGAGAAAACCGAAGTCCATAAAGTTTAAATAACTTATCCATAGTCATATAGCAACCAGGATAAGAACGCTTGTCTTTATTCTCATGAGACTTCCACCCTCAATGAAGTAAGATAACCCAAACAGAAACACACATGTAATAAAATTTTTGCATATGAAATAAAGGGAGAAATCACATTTTAATGAGTATGTTTCAAGTAATTGAGGAAATGTACTACCTCCTGCCTCTTTTCATGGTCTCTTCACGGCAATTGGATTCTGTGAAAAAATAAACCTTTCTTTCACAGGATGTGAAGTAAGAATGTCACTAAGAAGAGAGAAGAGAGGTCATTTAGAAAGATGGTACAGCAAGGCTACTTTTGTTTTGGCTGTAGATAGATGTAAAAGTATGCACATTCTTTTAGAAGTGAGAGGAAATTTAAGAACTTTTATCATTAGATGGCCTTTCTTAATATAGGGTTCAAAGACTAGTTAAACGAACCCTATATTTAGAATTGGAAAATGGGGAATTGAGTACAGACTACATGGGCACTTCTACAGAGTGTATGAGTTAACCTCACTGAGCCTCAGGTTCTTCATCTGCGAAATAGAAATTCATAATAGACTATCTCACAGATTGTTTTGAAGTTCAAGTGGAATTAAAGTATCTGAAATTTTGTTTAATAACTGGAAGTGTTCAAGTGTTAGATAATTATTATTGGGATCACTATTATATGATGAGTACTGGAGAAAAATATCTTTCTTATGGAATATTTAGTGTTTTGAAGGAGAATGAAGCCTGGCAGTTGGTCAAATTGGGCTTCCATTTCTCTATACCTCTAGGCTAGT